CGAAATGGACCAACCATAAGCAACCGTGAGCGCACTAATCACGCTATAAGCGTGAATCGGACCGCGGCCTTAGTTACATCTTTTAAGTAACTAGTAACTAATTTAATAGTAAGGGCCTGCGCACAATAGAGAAACAGGAATTAGATATTAAGATTTCAACCTATCAGAAACTGATTACATCGGAATACACGATTTCTGATAATCAACGTGGAAATCTCAGAACCATCGGCTCTCTTTCCAAGAATTTTCAAGATTGGTCAGCAGCAGAAAAAGACAAAAAAAATACTAAATTATTCAACAGCTGTGTGCATGAATCGGTGTTTCGGGGGCCGGAAGATGTTCAAGTTCTACAAATATTACCACCTCCCGAGTTGCACTTGATGCTCGGAGTGGTTAATACCGTAATTAATCACATGATGGTCGAATGCCAAGATGAAACCAATGAATGGATCAAAAAGTGCCACGTGCAAAGACAAGTTACACGTTTTGGCGCATCCTTCAATGGTAATGCCTGCAACATTCTTTTGAACAATCTTGACAAATTACGTGCAATGTCTGCTTTAGCCTGTATGAAATACGTCCAAGTGCTTCAAGATTTTAAGACTGTGGTTCAAGATTGTTTTGGAGGTACACTGAATGAAACGTATCGAACGAGCATAAGAAAATTTAGAGACAGTTACGACATTTTGGGAATCTCCACGACGCCCAAAGTGCACACGGTGAAATTTCACGTGGAAGAGTATTGTGAAATCAGTGGCCGGGGACTCGCATTTTTTTCAAAGCAAAGTGTGGAATCACTTCACTATGACTTCGAACAGACGTGGAAGCGACACAAAATAGCGGAGGTGAACAGTCCATTCGGTGAACGGCTGTGGAGAGCAGTGTGCGAATACAACAGTCTTCACTTGTAAAAAAAGTTAAGTTCATAATTAATTCATTTCCATTCAATTGTAATTGTGATTTTTTCAACAATGGCAATTTGTGAGTAATAAGATATTATTCAATTGATGTAACATTGAAGTACTATATTTGTAGAAAAATTCATTATAATTTCATGTATCACGAACGAAAGAATAATAATAAAGATTTTTTCATAAAAATACCCCCAAAAATCAGTTTTTTTGCTCTAGATAAAAAAAGGGCCGTTGAGTTCGAAAAACTGACTACAGATATTTAATCCTGAAGTGATTCTGGACATATTCCAAAAAAAAATTTTGGGTGACATAAACTTTCATTTAAAACGCCAAAAGTGAACCGTGACGGGAAGACTCATACGATTGGTCAGAACTAATTGCGCATTCCGCAAATTCCGTTCAATGGGACATAAGAAAACACATTTTAGCGGAACGGAATCGGTGGAATGAAGCCACGACCAATTACGAACGTTCTGCCAATTCCGCATTGCGCCAATTCTGCACCATGGGACCGCGCCATTAGTGTCAGGGAGTTGGTTTGGACGTAGTTTGGATGTAGGCCTCTAGCTGATACGGCTCTCTGATTGGTTCAAGCATTAGCTTAAGACCATCTCGAGTCTTGAGCAACGTATATTGCAGGGTCTACAATAGAAGTCGTATCGGTCGTAGAGTCTTAAATTGTAAAAAATTAACCAATCACAGTTGAATATAAGAAGAATAATCGGGATGATCCCGATTGATCACGGCTCAATTGGACACCACCAATCACAGCGACCGGTGCTTAGGAGCTTTGTAGTCTCAAGCGCTATGAGTGGCTCGTGTCCAATTGAGCCGTGTCCAACTGGGTGCCACCCAAATAATCGACTATGATTGGCCAATTTTCTACGATTTAAGACCCTACTACCGCCATGATTTCTGTTATAGACCCCGCATATGGATCAGTACTTATTGTAGATGGGATGATCCCGATTGACCACGTCTCGATTGGACACCACCAATCACAGCGACCGATGCTTAGGAGCTTTGTAGTCTCAAGCGCTGTGAGTGGCTCGTGTCCAATTGAGCCGTGTCCAACTGAGTGCCACACTTCATAGTCGATTTTTATTTCAAGACCGTCTTAAGTAATGTCTTAAGACGCTAATGCAGCCCTCTGATTGGTTCGTGACTTCTTAAGACCGTACTTAAGACGGTCTTGAATATAAGATCTGACTATGAATATCTGCCATAGTCCTTCTACAATAAGCCGTAAGTCAGAAGTACTAAGCGATCTTAAGTCATGATCGGTTAAGTTGGCCAATAGCCAACTTGAACGACTTGGATAAGACTGGTTAAGTCCGGATCTACAATAGGTGTTTCATGCCTTATGCCGTAAGAAACTGACCAATTACAGTCGAATCCGAGAAGAATAAGCGACTGTGATTCGCCCATTTCTTATGGCTTAAGGCTTAAAACCCTATTGTAGATCGGGGGTAAGACTTCTGACGTTCTGACTTGCGGCTTATTGTAGAAGGCCTATCAGATTTGAAGGTTTTTTTTTTACCGGGAGATTTTTTGAAAGTACAAAAATTTAGGAGACTTTCTGGGAGACTTTTGAAAAGGATAATACAAAAAAACGCCCAAATTACAACTAAAATATTGAGAAAACCGCAATATAAGAAATAACTTTCGAACGGGTGGCACCTAGTTGGACATGGCTCAATTGGACACGAGCCACTCACAGCGCTTGAGACTACAAAGCTCCTAAGCACCGGTCGCTGTGATTGGTGGTGTCCAATCGAGCCGTGATCAATCGGGATCACCCCGTTCCTGTCTAGTCGCTTTACGCTTTTTACGCTATTTTGTTGTTAAGCTGGAAACGCAATAGACACAGGATGCTTTCCAGCAAGGACACAATCAAACACAGTGTAACACAGTGAATCGTTTCATCCTTGTTTAACGTAAGCAAACAACAAGGACGTATGATTCACTGTGTTACACTGTGTCTGACTGTGTCTCTTGCTAGAAAGCACCCACAGGCAATAGGCACAAGCAACAGGGAATAACGAGCCGTCCAATCAGAGCTCTGGGATATAATATCGAACCTATACCCCAAAGCTCTGATTGGACGGCCTGTTATTCCCTGTTGCCTGTGCTTATTGTCTGTGTCTATTGTGTTTCCAGCTTTACACCGAAACATGATAGAACCACTGTTACGTCCGAACTGGCGTGTTTGTCGCGATTGTTGTGGTTCGAGACGCGGCATAAATCTCGTGCAACGCGGGCGCGGAGCGGGGCGCACGGGGCGAAGCCATATGCTGGATTCACACTGCATCCGATTTGCATCGCACGACGCTCTGCAACCAATCAGCAAACAGGATTCCGATGGATTTTGCTTCGTATCATCGGAATCCTGTTTTCTGATTGGTTGCAGAGCGTCGTACAACGAAAATCGGATGCAGTGTGAATCCAGCATAAAGCGTTTTCTGTTTCCAAAATGATGTCAACGACACTGTCTTTTGTTCTAGTGCAACAGAACTCAGTGCATTAGTTCATCAGAGTGCATTAATTCACCATATGGCATAATGATATTATCTTAACGGTATTGGGGCAGGCTGCTGTCACCAGTGCCTTTCGCATCGGCACGAAATCTTAATATTATTCTGAGTCTCGCGGGGAGGCTTTTATCTTGTATTGACTCCTTCGAGGTCCTTCAGAGAGAATTTAAATTAGAGAGTTAGAGGAGTTTTCAGATATTATTAGCGTCCCAGCGTGCTGTAAGCACTTGTAACACGGAGATTATAATCTCTCAAGAGGGCAGCTATATGTATGTCATTATACACTCGCTCTATCTACGATCTCCGTTTCTGAGAAGGATCTGGAAGGGAAAAATGCGAGATATGACTTTATGATTCTATTATCTTTATGTTATAATTACGCGATTTTGTTATTTTGATATAACGTAATAAGACAAAATAAAGGGGGGAGAGGTTGTAGAGGCCTCGACGCCGATGTAGGCGCTCGTTGAGCTCTACGGGGAAGGTGGCTCCTCGGCGCGCTTGCGAGAGCCGCGCTTGGAGTCGCCGGTAAGGATGGTCTTAACGACGCCTGGGGAGGCGCACGGTTAAGGCCGGAATTTTGAGGTTACATGGGAAGTCGCTTGTGCTCAATCCAAGCGCGGTATTCCTACCTTAGCTTTAGCTTGGACGGGAAAGAAAGAATAGGAACCGAGTCTGTGTACGCGCTCGTTTATATATAGTTAATATCGCGGTAAGGGGATGTTCACGTTCTCGTGTTATTGCGAAATCTCTATTGTGTGCCGATTATGTTATTAGCGATTTATTCTAATGACGATTAGATTTTAGTTAGTTTGTGCCTTTGATTTCGCTGCGGGGGTCGCGAGGTTCGTATTGGCGCGCTCAGTTGTCGCGTACTGCAGCCCGTTGCGGCAGAACTTGCATCTGTTCTTTGTGTTTTTTCATCATGAATTTTCGTATAGTTCTGGATCTCTTCGTGCTTTGTGCTTGTGGAATTCGAGTGTTTATTTAAGGCTTTTTCTAAGTTACGTGTGCTTTGATTTTATTCGCGATGATTTCCCTCGCATTCAGGGGCCTTTTGTGATCGGTGGGTGCATTCGTGGTTACGCGGTGATGCATCGCGTTGGTGTTATGCATTTTTATTAATTTTCCGTGGGTCTGCGGGTTTTCCCTGCAGCTGCGTCAAGGTCGGTTGTTATCTTTAATTATTCCTTATCCCTTAGTATCAATAGTTTGTTGTTAAAGTGCATTCTTGCATTGGTTTTAGTATTTATACTTTGGCGCAGGCGCAGTATGCGCGGCATTCGAACGCGACGGTTTCGGTGGTTTGGCCTATAACTGTACGCGCTTGTAGTCGGCACAT